ATTTTTAGTTCATATAAGAAGAATTGCCAATGTTCAGCACGGAGTGGATCGTAAAGGCAAGGCCTTAGCGACGATATCGCATCGAAATGACTTTGCCGCGTCACTCGTATTAACATTTTAATTAACGGCACGGAAAGATGGTGTTCCGGCGTGCATACTTTGTCGCGCATTCCACTCTACGGAACGTCAGCGGTTCCGAAAGCCACTAAAGAGTGACGACTATGTTGCGAAGGGGTTGCCGAGAAGTTAAAGCTAAATCTCGGTACGGCCCAGAGCTTAATTACGCGCGGCGGGTGCGCGCGGAGGCACTTGAACGCTGTTTGTGCGTGATCGAAAGTTCATTGTCCGTAACCTTGACCTACGATCTTGCAATATCCGATTGACGGAAATAATATTCCAGAATATGCGTGGCTGTCATTAATTCGTCAGTAGAACCGTAACGTAAAATCCACAGATTATTCATACGATTTCCGTTGTGCTCCGATAACATGAATTTATATCAAGCTTTTTGAGTTTGATATGTTCTCGTTAGAACATACCGTTTGTTAAACTCATTCGCGAAACTAATTATCAGTTGGTGGGTATTGGGTTCTAAATACAATAAAAATGTAACGCGGATATTTGGAGAAGTATTGGAAATATAAACTCTCACGTTGCTCTTTACGACATCACTGCACGGGTCATTTTATCGATATTATTTGAGCGAGATATTTCGCAGAATGACAACTTTATTTATTTGCGCTTTTCCGATATGCGTTTAAGTTTGTTTCGTCTGATTTCAATTTGTTGAAAATAAATGTTTCGCTAACAACACGCAATTTATAAAAACATTTATTTGCTCTCGCGGGAGAAATAGTTATGCTAATAATTCCGTGGTATGATTTAGCTATTAAATTACCTACTCCGTGCTCACCCGTAACAGACGCGTGACAATTGGGAGATGAATCATTAATTATTGGAAGACAATAGACGAGAATAAAATTAATAAATTCTATCAAGTTATTTAATTAATGTATTACTAGACGATCCCTGACATCAAAGAATATTTAATTCTTCGATAAAATCGGTCACACATTCGACAAGTATTAAACTAAATACTCAATTTTGTACACACGTACACAGTTGGAAAATTTGTGTTTTCTTGTTCAAACAAAGGCCGGTCAAAATTTTTGTGTTAAACGTTTAACACATTCATGTATTAATTTAACATATTGCTCTTGTGTTAATTGACCTCAAATATAAAATTATTAAAATACCTAAAAAATGTTAAAACAACACAATGTGTACTTATTTTTTAATCTTACACAATACATGTGTTCTATATTATTAGTAACAAGATTTATCTGTTAAAATTTACCGAGGGGGAGACCGCTGACCAAAATCTTGTACACCAACGCCCACGAATGCCCAGTGGGCATTACTTTATCTTATTATCTTATTTTATTAATGAATAAAAGGGTTAAAAGCCTTGACTAGTTGTTAGTGTCACAATAGTAAAAGATTAGTTTATTTAAAACATAAAAATTACAAACGTTTCGGTCTTTCTTTAGACCATCCTTTCTTTTATTTCTTCTTCTTTTTATACACTGAGGATGGTCTAAAGAAAGACCGAAACGTTTGTAATTTTTATGTTTTAAATAAACTAAACTTTTACTATTGTGACACTAACACCTAGTCAAGGTTGTTAGCCCTTTTATTCATTGATTTTTCTTCGTCAGAGCCGTATTCTCTTATATCTTATTTTATCTTATGTTATCGTATTTTAGCCTATTTTACCTTTATAATGCCCCAGCAAGACCTAATGCCCAAAAAATGCCCTAGTAATGCCCAGTAATGCCGCAAATCTGTACACCACAATGCCCTCAGCGGTTTCCGCCTCGATATTTACTGAATAAAATGATTTTATTCTATGTAACATAAGTGAGAGTGATTTTACACCATCATTTGACTTACTACATGTGTAAAATGTAAAACTTACATTTTTTAAATTCATTTTGTCATTAAGAATATGTTAATTTTGCAGAAAGTTTATTTTAAATTATTTTAAGATTTGCATTTATTTTGTGTTAAAATATTAACAGAGTATTAGCGTGATTATGTAACATATTATGGTAAATTAGCACAAAAATTTGTGTGGACCGTTCGGGACATTTGATATATGTTAAATTTAACGCAAATTTTTCAACTGCGTATTATCGAGAATGTATGTACATTGGATATTGTCCTTGATATCATCATATCATGTTGAATATTATCGTATAGTGCTGAGAATTGTGATATAACATGTTTTTATCTTTTCAACGCAAAACCCGTTTGAGAACTGATTTATTAAATCTGAATCTTTTAGTCGGGTATCTATTTTATGTAGGCAATTCTTGTTTACAAACGTCAGTCACGTTAGCGAAGTGTCTCGCGAGGATTGAATTTTGTAGTCAGAAAAAAACGGTTCTGCTAAAATTGCACGGATACATTTTAACGGACCGAGGATATTTTTAGATCCGTATCTTGCTAAATTTTTAGACACCCTAAAGGAGAAAAGAAGCCGTTCTGTCAGTACGTTTCTCTCCAGACTGTTCCCCGAGTTCTTCTAATTCGACGGCACGATCTCGTTAAAGATTGATTTACATTCCAAGTTGCAAGCATAATACAGTCAAAGTCTAACTCGACTTGGTTGATAGACACTTCGACAGAATAGAATAGATGGTTTCGACGTCCGAAGCTCTGAAATAGCAAGGAGCGCGCATTAATTATACGCAATCGGGAAGAAACTTGGCCCAGGTTGACGAATGAGATTTGTCCAGTCGGACAAGCGTCCAAAACTTTGGGACAACATTGCTCATACTGGAATTTGATCGATATTCCTCGATATAGACATCTAATTTTACTGATCCTGCGGATTCAACGAGCTGTCACAACAATGCTACGCTATTTCTTGCGGTACCAAGATCAATTGATTGATGAACAATTATTACTTGCGAGATCGCGGGGTTAACCAGCATTCGCACACACACACACACACACACACACACACACACACACGTGTGTACAAGGATAGAACAATATACATGACGTATTTTGTAGTGCAATTTTGCATAAAACAAAGGTTAATAATGTTAAGTACTGCGAATTTCAAAGTGCAAAAAAGCAGAACGTTGTCGCGCACATGGGGCGTTTCGTTTTACCGCATTTTACACAAACTCGTTTCAACATATTTTTTTTTACTTCGCGCGAATTACGTTATCTTATCACGTCTGTTAAACTACCTAAGCTATTTCGATATTCGTGTCAAAGTTGCTCCGAAACCCCTTTTTACACAATTTAAAAATCCGACGTCCGCGACGAGCGGTATCGCTGGCATTAGTCAGGAAATAACTTCTCAACTTCTCCGTTACGTAAAAATAGCCACATGCAATTTTTATGCCGACTGTTTTTGCGTGTCATAAAAAGTCTCTTAGAATAAAATGCGTTCCGCTTCTACTGACGTTACCTCGCGACGTCTAAAGGCCGAATCAGACTAGCAATTGTCGACGCGGATTGGATTGGTATCGGCGATCAAGTCGCTGGCTGCTTTGCTCTCATTGGCTAGAAGACAATCGCCAATCCCAAGCCGATCCGCGTCGACAATTGCTAGTCTGACTCGGCCTTAAAGCCCGTACCAGACTACAGGATTGAGATTGAGAGTTGATTGAAATTTGACCAATCAGTGTAAAGCTTCCTAATCTCAAGTTTAGTGATTTTTACTCGAATTGGTCAAATTTCAATCTAATCTCAGTTTGTAGTCTGACGCAGGCTTTAAAGCGCGTATCAGACTACGGATTGAGATTGAGATTAGATTGAAATTTGACCAATTGGAGTAAAAGTCACTAAACTTGAGAGATTAGTAAACTCTGTTGGTGAAATTTCAATCTAATCTCAATCTCAATCCGTAGTCTGATACGGGCTTGAGAGCCGAATCAGACTAGCAATTGCATACTTCGGATTGGATTGGCATTGGCAATTGACAATAGTCTTCGTCTAGCCAATGAGCGCAAAGCAGCCGGCGTGTCTCGATCGACTCTCATCGGCTAGAAAAGAATCGCCAATACCAGTCCAATCCGCGTAGACAATTGCCAGTCTGATTCGGCCATTAAGCAATTCGCTGTAGTATACATTCATGGATGTCACATTACGCGCGACATGGCATTACATGACAATAATAAACTGCCGCGACCGCAAAACAATCGCGTCAATATTTTTACAATCCCCTCGTTACGTAACGTCGGCAACTTTGCCGCGCCGCGAGCTACCGGATGCAGAAATGCTACGAGAACTTTTAAATATAGAAAGCGTCGTATATCGCATCCGACGCGCACGGCGCGACCCGAAGCGATCCGCGGGTGCCAACAGCGTCGAGAGCGAAATCGTAGGCAGGGGTACCGCGGGAATCGGGAATACGAAAATCGCGCCGGAGAAAGGAATCGCTTGATTTCCCCCCCGAAACGAGCCCCGGCCGGAGTTGATTGTTTCGCGATCGGTGCACGGCGGGTCGCCTCGAAAACGCTGGTAGGCTCTGCCCGACCGCACGCAGGACGCGACGAAACGCCGGGCGGCTGACCTCCGGCGTGGCTCCCGCATCGATTACAGCGAAACGTCGGGTACGGAACGCGGAACGTGGAACGGAGCAGGACGGAGCGCGTCCGCTCCGAGAATGGGGATATCCCCTCTCGCGCGGCATCTCGCCAGATACAAGCGCGGGCGGGCATGCGCACGTCAAACGGAACGCGCCCGTTACGTCGTGCGTTTCCCCGAAACCCCGACGAGAAATCTCGCGTCGCCGCGGCGTTACTCGAGAACGTTTATCGTCGTTGCCCAACAGTGCGCGACTCTCGCGGCCGTCAGCCGCCGTGGCCGAGGCCGACGCCTCGCCCGGCGCGACGGACCGATATCGCGGATGCACGATGACGCGGAGAATGAGAGCGAGAGGCGGCGCGTGGAAGCGGCCCGCGGCAGTGTGTACTCACGGCTTGTCAGGCTGCGACCTGCGGACCTTCTGCTCCACCTTCTGGATCTCCTCCGCCCTCGTCACGCTCTTCGTCCTGCGCGATCGCACGCGAGGGTCACTGTGCTCGTGCTCGGTCGTCATGTCGTCGTGTCGCGCGCGACGTCGTAGAACATAGAGGCACACGTGTTTTGTGGGCCCCGGTACACGGCCCTGTCGAGTCGCTTGGCGCGGCAAAAGGAAAGAGAGAGAGAGAACGATCACCGGCACACGCGTTTCGAAGTTGGTGACTGACGATGACGGCGGCGACTGATACCGATAACGCGGAGAGTCTCTCCTCGCGACGCGTGAGAGACGTGCCTGCCGAATGATGTGCGAGCGGCGTGAAGTTATCTCCGCGCGCGGCCTTTGGTCTTCCTCACACGCGCGTCGCGCTCACGACGAGGTCGCGACGGTACTACCCAAGAAGTAACGCGGCAGTCTTTCTCTCTCTCTCTCTCTCTCTCTCTCTCTCTCTCTCTCTCTCTCTCTCTCTGTCGCACACATGCCCTCTCCTTCTCTCGCTCTGTAGACGACTGTTTATCTATTTTTCGTTTTCCGACGAATAACGCTCGTTGCCGGTGTATGGTCGGTCTTCGGCATCGGTTCACGTGTGCCTTCGAGCACGCATGCACGAGTCACGTGTACGCACTTACCCTTTGAAATCATTTCGAGTTAGCGAAAGCAACGATATTAGCTAACAACGTCGTGAAACATAGCTGGGAGATGTTTTAGAAAAATTATTGCGACTCTATATTGAATATAGAATCTATATTCAATTTAAATAATTATTTGTGGCATAATACGTGCAATCGTGAAGGAAATAATTATTTAATTTAAAAATCTATTAAGAAACGATAATTGATTGTATAACATTAGCTTAAAGAACAACTGAGCAATGTATTAGACAAATTATTGCGACTCTATAAGTAATTATGTAGAATCTAAATAATTATTTATAGTATAATACCTACAATCATGAAAGTAATCTCATTAAAGTGTCATATACACGTTAAGTAAAAAATTATTGATGATTTGTAAACGCTAACTGATTGTATAGTATTATTGTAAAGAACAACCAGGCAATGTTTTATAAAAATGATTCCGACTCTGAATAAGAAATTATGTAGTCTATGTAATTATTTACAGAAATGTTTAGTACAATACCAGCAATCATGTTGGAAATAGTCATTTAATTAAAAAATCTATTATATTAAGAAACAATAATTGATTGTATAACATTAGCGTAAAGAACAACTGGGCAATGTATTAGAAAAATTATATTGCGACTCTATAAGTAATTATGTAGAATCTAAATAATTATTTATAGTACAATACTTGCAATCATGGAAGTAATCTCATTAAAATGTTGTATACGCGTTAATTAAAAAATTATTAATGAATAAGTTTAGTCGACCTTAACTAGCACGTGTTTAATAAATTAAAAATTAAAAATATACAGTGCGACGTTTCGACCAAGGATTTAGGTCCTTATCAAGCACACATTCTTAAAAATTAATCGAGTCATTGTAATAAGTAATTGAACGGTAAAAATTAAAACAGAGTTGAGTCATGATCATAAAATTGACGGCACAAGATAAAATATGTACATAGTAATTTATTAAATACGTGCCAGTTAAGGTCGACTACTTATCCATTGTTATTTATTACTAAAGAGATTATCATGTTTAAAAAATTATTGTTGCTTTGTAAACGATGATTTCTTGTATACTATCGTAAAGAACAATCGGGCAATGTTTTAGAGAAAATTATTGCGATTCTGAATAAGAAATTATGTAGTCTATATAATTATTTACGCCAATGTTTAGTACAATACCTACAATCACGATGGAAATATTCGTTTAATTAAAAAATTTATTTAAAAACGATAATTGATTGTATAACATTATCGAAAAGAACAACTGGGCAATGTTTTAGAAAAAATATTGCGACTCTATAATTAATTATGTAGAATCTAAATAATTATTTATAGTATAATACCTGCAATCATGGAAGTTATCTCATTAAAATGTCATATACACGTTAATTAAAAAATTATTGTTGATTTGTAAACGACAATTGTTTGTATACTATCGTAAAGAACAACCGGGCAATGTTTTAGAAAAAATTATTGCGACTCTGAATAAGAAATTATGTAGTCTATATAATAATTAAAGTGTTAAATTGTATATCGCCAGTAATTTAAAAACAAATCTTCATAAATTTAAGCGACCTACACTGGCTAGTGTTTTTTATTTAAAAACTAATGTTACAACGTTTCGGCCCTGGATTTGGGCCCTTTTCAAGTGTTCTGAAACGCAAATTACAAATTTGTATACGGAGCTGAAGGCTTATCATAATGCAACTCTAAATTACATACCTTAGTGAATAACTGCGTCAATTATTCAGTTGTTTGGCCAATACCATTACCATGTGTCAAACTAAGTAAAGACAAGAGAGAGTCAATTACCAATTATGATAAGCCTTCAGCTCCGTATACAAATTTGTAATTTGCGTTTCAGAACACTTGAAAAGGGCCCAAATCCAGGGCCGAAACGTTGTAACATTCGTTTTTAAATAAAAAACACTAGCCAGTGTAGGTCGCTTAAATTTATGAAGATTTATATAATAATTATTTACATAAATGTTTAGTATAATATTTGCAATCATGATGGAAATAATCGGTTAATTTAAAAATCTATTTAGAAACGATAATTGATTGTACAACACTATTGGAAAGAACAACTGGGCAATGTTTTAAAGAAATTATTACGACTCTGTATAAATAATTATGTAGAGTCTACATCATATAATTAATTATATGGTATATAAATAGTTATGTAATATGATACGTGCGATCGTAGTGGAAATAATCATTTAATTAAAAACTTTTCGATTTTCGAACGATTCGATTGTATAACAGAGTCAATCTTTCCCCTTTTCCTTCCATCTGTCCTCCCTCTCTTCTGTTTTTCAAATGTGAAATCAACTCGAGACGATTTCCTCTAGTGACCTAAGGGTCTCTTTTGAATAATATCTACAATTAAGATCAGTAATTATAGTCTACAGTCTATAATAGTTTAACTTTTTACGATTCAATTCCGATTTTACGCTTGTACATTTTAATAGCTCTTTTGCCCTGGTTTGACATTGATATAAAAAGTTGCTGCGCACAACTTCACTAACGTTTGAAGCATTTTGCAATAGAAACTCTCTCATAATAGAATAGGTTTTTTTTTGTCGCATAAAAACGATGTCTGGCATAACATGCGAAACGCTAAACGACTTTTTAATATCTTTTTGAATAAACATGCGGCCCGCTTCTATAACAGTTCATTTACGTATTTGTGACTTGCCACTGTACAAAGAAGTAAATAGCAGATAACAATTCGCTAAGAAGTTCTAATTACAAGTCAGACGTTCCGGCTCTCTTTACTTATGAAAATGTTGCCACATATCGCTTACAACGATAAACACAAGGCGAGATTCTAATTTCGTCGCGTCATCCGACGTCCGTTTCATATTACGATCCAATTACGATGAAAGTAGGTGGCGGGTCATTCCTAAATCAAACATTCGACGGTGACACATCCCAAGCGGTAAGGTCCCATCGACGACGAAGTAATCACCGCGTCGTCACTTCCATTAAGATTTCAGATAGCGTGGCGCTGTCACTTCGCCACGGAACTTCGATTTCGACTAACTTCTGGCGCCGGATCTTCCAAAGTTCGGGGCAAATAAGGCCCGTGTGCCCGGGCACGTGAGACAATTTCGCAAATGTTCGCCGGGAATCGGTCGCCGGGAGGTTGAAAGGTACCGTCAAGCCAAACGAGACGAGGTACCTCGAGCTAATTAAAGTACACATGGCGCAGGGCGCTGAGACCCGTAAAGATCCTTGGAAAATGTATGAGGGATCTACCCTCGTAGATTGCGGGCTTACCGAGCGGTGACGCGTATGAGTTTCCACGATCCGTTATTATATGGGGACGTGATGCGTTGCGAACTGTTTAGGGCGATTCTCCTCCGAGGCGAATCGAAATCCTTCATCACCCCTGAGGGTTGTGAACACAGGCGGCTCCTTGTTTTTTTTCCCGCTCGTCGCATTTCAACGACTTTAGTGCGGAGCGCTTTGAAAAATTCTTCGATTTATTAACGTCATCGCGAATCTGCGATAATAATAGTGAGCCAGTCAATAAAACGTACGGTTTATTAATAACAAAATTGCAGTAAGATTATAAACGTCTATTCTCACGCTCGAGAGATTTCATTTGTCTTCGTGTAACGTATAAAAATATTCCCTTTATACGCGAATCGATCGATTTATTAACTCAAACTCAATTGGCTTAATATATTTTCACGTTTCCCGGCTTGTTCCAATCCAGCTGCAGAGCAAATACTAATCTTGTAGAGAACTTTAGTATTCCATCGACCGCGGAGTAGCGAGCAAACATTCGCCCAATGGTAAACTACTTGACGTAATCCCCATGTACGGAAAAACAGAATAGTCGCATATTTGCCCGCGCACCGCTGATAAATTTACCCGAAGACTCGCGCGGCTGAAAATCGCATTTGTATGAAACCCTGTGAGGGCGGATTGGCACGTACCGGCGGTATAATCTAGCTTTCCACTTCGCACCACTGACGGTCATCAAAGTTCAAGATTATTGTAAAATGTAAACTACTGTAAACGCGAGAGCCATTTTCCCCCTCGTAAGCGCTCGCCGCGTTTCAAAGGTCGTTTCCATTTCAGTCCGACTCTGAACTTTACCCCCTACTATCGCCGTTCTTACTATCAAATTGCCACTTTGTTACAGCCTGACGGAGATAAGGAACGTGTTTACGTATTTCTAATTGAAATGTCTAATTTAAATCATACTTTGTTCGTGACACTTAATCGATCTCTTCATCTCTCCGTTACGAGTAAATATCTTCGTCAAACTTTAATTGTCATTTATAGAATATATAATATCATACGTTTCTATTAAAAGATACGCAGAGCGGAGTGACAATCACTCGTCCCCTACAATTGTAGATTGTGCAAGTACTTCACTCGACTATACTACAATTTTGCTGCGCTTCGCCCCTTCATACGACCGTGCTAATCCTTTCGTCAGTGGTCCCGAGTCGAATATTTTGGCCTCGGTTTAACCTCGCGTAACTTTTCAATCGGAAGCAACGAGATCGAACTAAGGTACTTGTGTCGGAGAACACACATTGAATTTTTGACCTCAGATAGGCCTGAAAAGAGTCGCTATGTCCCTTTTAGCAGTAAAGAAGCTAATGCGAGTGTAATCAACAGAGGCTCACTAGATCCTCTTCGGCCTAAGAGTTTCAAAGAGAGTGAAATATTTTATTACATTCTCCTTGAGGGTTAGAATAAAGTTGAACACAATTTTTTTTACACACCTGGGCCTCAAATTGGAGTTTCAAACCGATTCCGAGATCCAAATG